TTGCAGAAGATGGAGCAGGGAGAGAGAGACAGTTTCTCATTCACTCTTCTTTTAAAGCCCTCAGAACCACACCCCTGATCACCATTATTAATCCATTCACTACTGCAGGGTCCTACAATCCAATCACCTGTTCAAGGCCCCACCTTGCAATTACCATAATAGGATTTCCCACCCTCTTAACAGTCACAGTGGGGTTCAAGCTTCTAATACATAAAGCTTGGGGGACACAATTCACATCACCTGTGCTAATAAATGCAGGCTGGAGAGACAGGAACACACAGGTGAAGAACACTCCAGTGTACCTCTCAGCCTCAGCAAATCAATGGGGAAAACAGGAAAACACAGCTCATTAAAGAAGCAGAATTGATCAGGTAGATTTAATTTTCACATCCTATGCCTTAAAAAGTGAGATTACACATCCCTTTCAAAGCACATGGGAAGTCCACAAAATTCACAATTGGGCTACAAAGAACACTTCAGGAGAATATTAAAAAAAAAATGTAGAGACAACATTTGGTTCCTGCCTGGCAATAAAATTGGAAATCAATAACACAACCAGGAAGGTAAACAACACACAATTATCACTGGGGTATTTTTCAAACTTTCTAAAGTTGGGTTGACAGAAAACAAAGACCGAAAATGCTGAATCCTAGCTACCCATTTGGAAATTTGAGCTCAGATGAAATGTTAGAGCCTTGAATATTTATAATAGTAAACAAGAAGAAATGAAATTAAGCAGAAGAGGCATTCTACTCAGGACATTCTCTGTATGGAAGGTGGGTAAAAATTAAATCCAAGGAAAGCATGTGGAAGGAATTGATGAATTCTAAATGGAGAAACGGTAAAGCTAAACATTTAAGAATTATTCACGAAAGCTAAAATGGATTAAAATAATTAAGTAAAATAATGACCACACAAAATAAGGATGTGCAGTTCTTCATAGACTTGGAGCATGCTGAGGAATTATAAGTGATTCATTGCTCAAATCTACAGAATGACATCTGAAAACTTAAGAAATGTGGGTGACTTTCCAATAAAGAAGTAGAAATACAAAAAGTATTTTTTAAATGTATCTTCCCCTACCCAGAGAAAAGCAAAAACTAAAAAACAATTGTCCCCTCTACATGCACACACACAGCACACGCAAAAGCCACAGGTAATTTCAACCAAACAGATTTTCCAGAATAAAAAGAACAAAGAAAATCTACCAAATCTATGTATGAAGAAAACACAGTATTGAACTAATGCAAAAATATAACACAGACCAATTTCAGTTTTGAACATTGACACAAGAATCCTAAAGAGAACAACGAATCTAAAGCCCAGCAGCAAACAGAGTCCAATTCAAGAATGAAAGGATGGGTGAATATTAGGTCATCTGTTACAGGACATGTAATTATATTTAATTCATCATATTAATAGATCAAAGTAGGAAACCATTTGACCGTCTCCTTAGATGCTGAAAAAGCACAAGATTTAATTTAATATGCATTCCTGACAAACACTCTTAAGGAAAAATTGATGGATTCTTTCATGCTTATATATGTGAAGACTTATTGTATCCACGTGTGTGTGTGTGTGTGTGTGTGTGTGAACAATGAGAGAATTTAAGAAATTGGCATGGCACAGAACTAACAAATCAGTAGTATTTCCATATAAAATGCGAAATGTTACATATGTATTGATTGACATTTAATTCTGTATCCCATAAATATGTATAATCAATATGTCAATTAAAAAATATTTTTTAGGGCCAGCCCGGTGGCGCACTGCTACAGTGTGCCGCTTGTGAGCGTGGCGGCGCTCCCGCCAAGGGTTTGGATCCCACGTACAGACCGGCCGCTCACTGGCTGAGCGAGGTGCGGGCGCAACACCAAGGGTTGTGATCCCGTTGCCGGTCCCGGTCCAGTACGGGCGCAACACTGAGGGTTGCGATCTGTTGCCAGTCACGAAAAAAGACAAAAATATATATATATATATATTTTTTTTTTAAATGAAAGAAAAAGATGTGTAAGTCAGTATGAACATGCTAAGGAAGAAATAAAAAATAAGTCAGGGAAAAGGAGAGATATCCCTTTTTAAATAGACTGACTCCATATTATCAACATGCCTAAATTAGTCTGTAGATTTAATGGAATCCTGATAAGAATACTGAGGATTTTTCTAACAGCAGACAAGCTGATTCTGAGATATACATGAAAAATTAAACAGCAAAGAATGGCCAAGAAAACTGTGTAAAGAGTGACAGGAAAACCCCTTAGTCTTGCCATATATTAAAACCATATAAATGCAGTGTTAGGCAGCTGATTAGGTATCATATTTGAACTAAGAGATTGGAAATGATCAGAAAGTGAGCAGTGCTGCAGAGAAACTCAGACATCACGGGAGGTGCTGTGAATTTGCACAATGTGTATGAAACACAATTTGGCAATGCCCATAAATAATTAAATACACACATGCCTTTCTGCCTGACAAAGCCACCTTTGGGCATTGATGACAACAGTCACTTGTAAGGGCTCACAATAATGTAAATGCAGAGATGTTCCTTGTAGCACTTTATTGACAGCAAAATCATGGCCACAGATGAAGTGGGTTGGCTAAAGATGTTATGACCCAGAATTGCAACAGATCCTCTGCTGTGTTAAAAAGGTTACGGACAATAGTCTTTTTGTTCATTGATGTTTCCAGGCATGCAGTGGAAGTCCAGTAAATATTGGCAGAATAAATCCCAGAAAAACCTACAGAAGGTGGACTTTTTCTGTAAGAAGTTAGAGGTCGGCTCTGGTACCAACAGCCACCTTAGGAGAGAGGTATGTAACATTATTACATAACAGTATTTTATTCTGTCTCCTGTTAGTCCTAAAATAAATTTTTAATCCTAATTCCAAAAGCCATTAGACTGTTTTTATCTTTAAAAAGAATTTCCAAAATAATTAGACAGAGAATTGTTTTTGCCAAGATATTTAATGGCCTAACAAGCTGCATATTTTAAACTCTCTTTTTCAAAAGATCCACCTTTGAGAAAATCATCTGTTTATTTTTATGTCAGTGTGAAAGTAAAATGACCATCTGCAAAGACGGACATCTTCGCTCCATAAAAATTAATCCTACTTGACATATTTCTTGAAAGTACATATTTATTTATAAGTGAGCCATAATTTGACATACTCTAAAAAATACCATCCTTTTACCGTTCTCATGTTCATTTTAATAAGCCACGTATGCTTTTAGTATGATTACAATACTTGTAAAAATGTCATTGTTATTCATGGAATGACAAAAAAAGGTTTCGTGCATTTTTAAAAATTATTCCAGAGCAAGTCACTGTGGAGAGTCTGACCTCAAAGACAATCCCTGATGATACATTTGAGAAAACCATGAACAGCATATTCTACCTTTATAACCAGGTGTTTGTCACTATTAGCACGAGGCTCAGGTGCGTTGGCTAATCCAGCCTTCAGCCTGTGATGTCTGGTCAACCCCTTCAAGTGGCAAATGAGATATTTGTGATGCTTTGGTTACATCCTCTAGAACCTAGAATGTCAGGTTCACTGCTGTTCATACCTGGGCCACAGGTGGCATCTGACAGGTATTTATCGAACGAAGCAATGAATGTACAAAATAAATAACTAGGGGTTTGTCACCTTTTTTCCAACCTGTCTCACATACTGAAAAGTTATTAGGAGTGTCAAAAACAAAAGGACTACCTCAAATGCCGACAAGATCTAGGTGACTGTGCCAATCAACATCCTGGGAATGATGTGGGTGTGGGGAGGGCTTGAATCTTCAACAGCAGGGATCTGCTTAGATGCCCACCCCCAAATAGCTAGTAGAGTTCCTGAGCTCAGAAGTGGGAAAGACTCAGAATTCATGACACTCAACTCCAACCACCTCTTTTCCCAAATCTGGTGCAGCCCCTACAGATAAGATAACACCACACCTTTGAACAGGGGAAGTTTCCCATGAACATTCAGTGCCACCCATGCAGTAGCTTTTAACACCATTATTTGACAAAGTGAAGCTTTCCCATGGAATTGCCTTTCTCGGGTTGACTATTCTAAGAGCTTTACCTTGGCCTGCCTGTGCCGCTGGGGACATGCTAAGGACATCTTCACTTTTCATTGGAGGAAAGTTTATGGATAAGTTCAATCCCATCTGGAATATCATGGCTTATATTTTTTATGAAATTAACACAAAAATCAAAGCAGAGCCCTGCCCAAGGTCTTATGTAAAAACACGCATTCAGGAAGCCTTGCAGCATATGCCTTTCCCTAAATAGGACTTACTCCTTAATGTGGAAAAGCCATTGTTTGTTGCAGGAAAGAGAATATGCTTTCAGTTAATGCTACACTGTCAAGAAGCAGATAAAGAGATTCTCTGCCACAAATCTGTTTTACCCCTATGTTAAACCCAGCTCTCACATCAAAGTAGTTCAACATTTTGTAAAGACTGTATAAAAGATTAAGGAACATGTGGAAACCCAGGAAACCCACAGAAATGCAGGGTAGCATCTGGATGCAGGAGAGTATCTGGATGCAAGAGAGTATCTGGATGCAGGGAGTATCTGGATGCAGGAGAGTATCTAGATGCAGGGAGCATCTGGGTGCAGGAGAGTATCTAGATGCAGGGAGTATCTGGATGCAGGAGAGTATCTAGATGCAGGGAGTATCTGGATGCAGGGAAATATCTGAATGCACACAGTAGCTGGATTCAGAGAGGAATCTGGATGCAGGAAGTATCTGGATGTGGGGGGTACCTGGGTGGAGGGGAGTATCTGCATGGAAAGGAGTATCTGGGTGTCAAGGAGTGTCCATCCCCACCTGGCAGGGTGGGTGAAAGGAAAAGGACACTGAAACAAAACCCTGGAAATAAAGAGCTAGCATTTAGGTTGATCATATACCACAAAGCCCCCGAAAAGGGAACTTGGAATCCATCTCACTAAGTTCCACAACCTGCTTTAAAATCCACCCCATGGCAAAACATTTATGTAAGAAAAGTAGTTGGTTTCTAATTCCTTTTTATTAGTCTGGTATGAAAAAAATATATATCCTCCCAAATGAAGAAAATATTGACAAAACCAATTGCAGTCTTACCTCACATTATAAAAATGGTCAATGCCTCTAGGGAGGTTTCAGACGTGCTCAAGTACACGTAATTCATGAAGGCCTAGAGTTCCATGTCGGGGTACTTTGGTGGGGTTGATAATTGAATACAGGGACGTGGTAATGGTCAGCCTTTCACATCACACAGGAAATCCCCAAGGGCCTTGGAGAGGGCACAGCCCAAGTCCCCACTTGGATGTAAAACTTGTTGTTAGTAAAAACATCACCCGCCCAGCACGGCAACAGGTAAAGCACATCTCAAAGTGGAAACAGAGAGTCCAACATGAACGAAAACTAAGGCAGGCACGGGAAGGCACCACTCCCTGAGCCAATGAGTCTCTGTCCTCATGCGGGTGTTTTCAGGGAAGGAGCTTCAGGAAGGTGTCACAAGCCTCCTTTGAACGTCTGCATTGTTTTCACGAAGTTCTTCTATTTCTCTAAAAGAGTGCGCTGAACTGTGAACGGCAGAGAGAAAAGAAACTTATTCCCAATCCCCCCAACACGGTTGTGAACACGGCTTCTCAAATCATCTTATGTATAATATACTGAATTTCAGAATAATTTTCTAAATCAGGGCATGTGATTTTTATTAATCTACAACCATGTGGGGCTGAGATTTTCTAGTCCGTTCATTTAGGTGTTAGGAGTTTATTTTGCATGTCATTCTTGAAACTATGTTGGAGTGAGTAGGATTGGACAAGAAAATTAATAATAATGGGATTTTCCTTCAGAATAAGCTGATTGAAAAAGCTGGAAAGGCCAAGTTCTCGACAGGACAGAGGCCCACACATGAATAGCAATGTGTTGGCCCATAAAGCTGGACGTCCTCAAGAGGCACATTTGGCAGAAGAAATCTCCCCTGCTGCTTGAGGACAATAGGTCATTTTGAACATCTTTCCCTGATTTGTACATTTAGTAAACTAGGCACTAACATTCTAAAACTCTCTATATTTTTAGAATTCAAATTATTTTAAAATTTCTTAAAAACTCATCTCAATTTGGTCAGTGTCCTGTTAAAATAAATGCTGCCTCTCTAGAGTCCGGCATATGCATAAATAAAACAAAAAAAGAAAGAAACACATACACAACAGGTATCAGAGGGTAGCTCAAAGAGTTGTGGAAAGATCTGTATAAATCTTTCAATTCAACTTTTCCATGAACATTTTGAAGTGCCCTTGCATATATACACACAATTTTTTTTTTCCAGCCATTTTCAAAAGTGGTCTTGACTTTATCTCTGAGACATTTCCTTCGTTTAACCAGTCTGTGCTTGTGCCCAGAGTCTCCACCTGGTCAGAAGGACTTTTTAAAAAGTGATGGCAAAATGTGACAAAATGTTGTATTTTGGGGAGATGTACTTTTAATCCTGGAAACATACCAGGCAGTTGTTGACTTTCAGATGCACCAACTGGGCACCACTTGGAAAATCATCTTAATCCATATTTATTTATTTAGTTGGTTTTTCCAAATTAAATTTGTGGATTTTACCAGAAGTTTTGTATTTCACAAATACAAAACTTGCTTTACTTGGCACCAGTATGATCTGTCCATACATGAAATTTTGTGTTCAGTGCTCAGCACACCCTTTAAACAGATAAACTAGAATGAGGTCTGGAAAAAGAAGACAATATTCTGAAATAATCTGATAATAACGATACCTGTCAGTATTGAGTACTGACTTGCAACAGATACTTTATCAATTTTATTCATGCCTCCCAAAACTTTTATAAAGCAGGTATTACTTTCTCCATTTAAAGAGAGAGAAAGTGAGGTCTCCAAGAGGTAAATACTGTTTTTATCCGGTTTTACTAGTTGGTAACTTGCACAGTAGTGCTTAGCTAGGAAGCAGAACAGACAGTGTTTGGGCCCAAAGAGACCCCAGGAATCTTAGTGTAAAACCACACCCTCATAGGTGGAGTTAATCCATATGCAGTTCAAGTGAGGCTTAAGCCTCATTAAGTCTTATCCAAAGCCTCAAGCTCCAGGGAGGTGACACGTTATCTCCGAAATGAATCTCCCCCATAAAGGAACACACCTCCAATACCACAAAACCGAATTTGAGCATGTGGGCAGGATGGTATTGTAGCTGGAGAAACTAAAACTGATACACCCTCCCGTGGTACCAACCTTCCCCGTCCCTTCTTACCAGGTGGCTCCGCGTTGGTGTTGCGGGTGTTTTCCATGTCGACTTCACCTTGTTCTGCTAAAATGAAAAACAAAACACCCACAGAGGCTCAGTACAACAGAAGAAAGCACTCCACGAAATGCACAGGAAACATGCTTGGGAGCCTGCATGGCAGGTGCAGGTGTTTCTCCAGTGAGAAGACTCAATTCTAAATCTCAAAACCCTGTTTGATCACTGAGTCAGGGTCTAACAGCCACTGCAACACTCAGAAGTGAGAACACTGTTACAATGTTTCCATGCACAGTGCACACCTAACAGCAACTGCAACGCTCAGAAGTGAGGATGTTGTTCAATGTTTCCATGTGCAGTGCACAATGTTTCCATGCATGGTGCACATAGAGAGGGCCTTAACGGGGGGATCCAGTTTTCTTTTGTTCTATATAAGTTGGTTTTTTTTCCTCCCTCAACACTGCACATATAAGGCCCCTACTTTAATAAGGATGCATGTATCTTTGTAAAGAACATCTTGACTTCTCTCTGTCCCCCAATCCCATCAAAAATAAATACAGAGAACATCAGGAGGTTAGTATCTTTTCAGCTCCTGGGAAAAGGAGACTTTTTTTTTCTTTTTCATCCACCCTTTCATACCATTCTCCAGCTGAACCCGGTCCCCCTGCCCTCCATACCCACCATCCCTAGAACGCAGACGGATCAGACCACCAAGGGGCACTGTGCTCACCAGGGGCCATGAGAGCTGATCGGCCTCATATGGCCGGGCTTGCTTGTTCCTCCTGCACTTTGCCCCAGTCTATCTTGTTTTTATTTCTAAATCTCCATTTAAAAATTTTTGAAACACATCTCAATGCCCCCAAATGTTCTCAGTTTAGCTTCTCTTCCGACATACGGCGTGAGCCAACAGAATTCAAGATGCATTAAGAGATTCACAGATAAAATATATTTATTTCTCTACTGCATTGTTGAGAGGAACACACAAGCTACACGCTTCAGCACAGAACGTACTCGCACACTTTCATCATATCCATGGCAATGCATGTCCTGCTCACAGAACTTTAATACTGGTAAAACTGTGCCATCTGTGGTTAAAATACCTTCTAGAAGAAACATGTACACTACAGCAGCATAACTTTTAATAATGTTAAACAGAAAAATGCATCACAATTTGTATTAAAGGAATTTAGTGACCATAACCACCCTCTTACAGTCACTAAAGGACACCTACACAAAGAAGCCAACATTCTAAGAGTAAACAAAAAAAGAAAGAAAAAGAAAAACACCCAAAAAGGAGAGTTCAAGGAGGTTGGTGAAAAAGTTTACCCCAAATGCCATTTGTTTTCCTAGCAAGGGAAGTGCTAGGTTGTCACATGCTATGAGTTAAATGCATACCCCCAAAATCACGTATTGAATACTTGATCTCCATGTAACAGTGATGAAGGTGGGAAGTCCAATCATGGAATTTGAAAGGTGGGGACTTTGAGAGGTGATTAGATTGTGAGGACTGTGTCCTGATGAATGAACAGATCCATTCCTGGAGTAATGGGCACAGTTTTGATGGCTTTATAAGGAGAGCCAGTGAGCAGGTTAGTTCTCTCTTGCTCAGCTGATCCTCACCATGTGACAGACACCCTGTATCTCTGCAGAGTCACCACCAAAAACAAAGCCCTTACCAGATGTGTTTCCTTCACCTTGGACTTCCCCACCTCCAAACTATGGGAAATAAATTTTATTTCTTTATAAACTATCCAGTTTCAGGTGTTCCCTTATAAGCAACAGAATCGGACTAATACATCACCACAGGCACATTTTATGGCAAACTGTCATGACGTGAAAGTCTAAATTTGCAATCATTTCAAGAGGCACATACAAAATACCAAAAACAAAAATAATTTTTAAAAAAGACAAAGGGCAAAAGACAAAAATATATCCTACCTGGGCCAAGAAGCACTACCTAAAGTCTGGCTATTTTTAAAGAAGAAGAAAACAGTCCATTGGAAACAGTAAAGAATCACAAGGACATCACCTGTTTGGGGTGAAAGTCCCAACATCGCAGCCCGTCAGGAGGAGAAAACATTCTAGGAGATGCCCATCCCCCCACCTGCATGAAACTTCTCCTCTAAACTTAAAAGACCACGCACTCTGCATCTCCAAAATCAACTGGAAACCACTCATGGTGCTTTGCTTTTACACTGGCAACCGTCTGTAGTTATCTAAACAATGAGACAAAACAATAAGGCTATACCACACTCGAGGCCAATCTTTAGCCCATGCCTGGGGGGACAACTGACCAGCAACAGCTGATCTGTAAGCCACCATGAGGCCTGACATTTTGGAGCACCCAGAGATTCTATTTCATATTTAGTCCTGTATTGACTGGGGGACAGGCTTCATTGGATCTGAACTGAGAAACCTGGGGACACATCTTTCAAGGAGCTGTATAGGTGACCCCCGTGGAAAGGAGATCAGGCCCACAGGGGCAAAGTTTAAAGCCCAACAGTAGAACAAGTCCTGACCAAATCACCCTTAAACCACCCATCCCAACCCAGATTCCACGACTCCACGGCAAGGAGGTTGTGGTTGATCTCTGCAAGAGGTCGAAATGAGAGATGCATTTTTAACACCCAACAATGAGATGGTGGAATTTGCAAAGGGAAGGAAAATCCAGCTGCAATTTCCATGTTTCAGAGATACAAAAAGACACAAGAGGAACCACACAGAGACTCAATGCTCAGGTGCAAAGTAGGGCTGACCATGTACCAATTCTCAACAGACCTTAAAACATTAAGATCATGATGAGGTTTTTAGGTTATTCCTAAACATATGTTCATTTGTTTGATCTCCTGGGAACTGAGAGGTTCATGTATCAGGAAAAACACATTAGAGAAAGAGTTAGAAACTGCTTCATGGGAAAGGAAGAAAGAAATGAATCCTTAAAATTCAAGGGCTGAGAAATCAGGGGGCAAAGACCAAACCATCTGTGGCATAAAAGGTCAAATCTGAATGATCCAATGGACTTTGCTCCAGGACACCACAGGGAAGAGGGTGGCCAGTCTCTGACCACCTGCTTGTCCCATTGGCAAGGATGGACTTGGAGGGAATGAACCTCGTTTATAGATAGAAGATGCCAACCCCATTTCTTTCCGTTGGATTTAAGTTTAAAAACAGTCTGCATTTCTCTTCAGTTTCTGAAGCCACCTGTGCAATAATATAATATAATAGATGACTATAATTTAATATAATGAGCTTCTGGACATCAAGAAGGGTAAAACCATAGGATTCAAGGGATCAAATGTCCCACGTGAGAATCACATCATCGTGGTAATTTTCTAGTGGGAGACAGGAGAACGGCAGGTGTAAAGATTTGCTTTCGACCGCGTCTTAGGAGAGAAGCAATTATCGGTTGGGATGCTGTCGTGGCTGTGACAGGGTTCTCTCTTGTCACTACATCTTTGACTCACCTGAAATGGAAGATTGAAAGAAATAAAATAACAAAGTAGACTTCTGATAGGTCTGGTTCAGGTGCGTGCTGGGGTCCCAGGCGGCAGAGGGAGGTGGTATTAGTAAGATGGGCACAAAAGCTCATAGGAAAAGTGGTAAAGGCTTACAGGGCATCATACAGCAAGAAGCGAGAATCAGAAGTGGAAGCCAAAATTAAGGAGAGGAGGTAAAGATGCAGGGAGGGAGAGAGGTGAACCAATAGTTTCATCAAAGCTTCAAGAAACCAGCCATTAGCCAAGAACCCTGGTAAACTGCTGGCAGATGGGCCCCAGAGCTGTGAAGAGCTCTGCACAGAGAGGCAGTGTCCTTAAAACCAAGTAGCAACAGCCAAAAGCCAGGATCCATGGGAACTTGCCAGGCTCCACGTGGTAAGTGGCCTTGACCCGGTTCCTTGAAGCCAACACACCCAAACGCAGACCAAAGACACAGACCACGAGCACATGGCAGAAACAGCTGAAATAGACCCCCTCCTATCACGGGGACAGACACTGGGTAAAGCTCCCACAACTACAAATTCAAATCTGTAGAAATAAAGGACAGAGCATTGGAATTCCCTGGGCCATGGATGTTTAAAGATGTTAGCTCAAAACAACAAATTTAGATCAAGATGGACAGTATTTGACCAATGTCTCTCCTCACTGGGAAGACGCACCTGCTTGCACACACGTGCCTCAGGCTAATTTGGATGCAAATTTCACACACACAACCAATTTCAATGCAATGATTTTTCCCCCCAAAATCAGCCTCTCACTGTTGCAGAATAATGGCTTCCCCAAACTGTGCATGATTTCTTCAAGGACTGGATGAAATTTTCAAGCTCACCTTAAAATCATCATCCCAGAAAGCAAACCCATAAAACAATCCTGCACAGATTCTAAGGGCCTCTAACATCTTCGTGTGCCCAATACACTGATTGTACATTTCAAGTCTATCTCTATTGTTAAAACCGTGCCACTGAGACGGGTGTTAAACTCATTTTATGAAACAGGTATACAAACAGAAAAGTGCACGAACGTAGCCTGAAAGCCACTCATGCTTTTGAGTTAGGTTCTCGGTGTTTCTATGTGAATAGAACGTCGTTTAATTTCCACGCTCATGCTGAGCATTTATTTTACAGCCGGAGACAAAAGTGCCTAATTACTGAAATCAGAAGCTCCAGCTTGCTTCCCTCATTATAATTTGCTTATTTTATTTTATCATTTTAATTGATTTTTTGCTTTGTGCATTTACAGAAGGTCAAGATCTTGAAGCTGCTAACACCCAGAAAGCAAACCAAGATTTAAAGTTGCACCTTGTGTTAATTTGGCTTCGGAATAATAAAAGACTGCAGAAAATATTAAGAAAAATGAGCCTTGCCTCTGAGTAGCAAAAGTTGAACCCTGGACTGCCCCAGAGCCAGAGGAGGCTTTCATTTTTGGAATTTGTAAGAAAACTACTCCTAACCGGGAGATGAGAGCCTTCCTTCCTACAGCAAATGGAGAGAATGCTTCCCCCAAAAACCAACACCCAGGGGTGGGATGGGATGGACTGAGAAAAAAAAAAAAATTGGTTCTGCCTTTTCCCATCTCTGTTTCCAAATTTTCGACAAAGCCAAGTCTATTAAGACCCTGGGGTTTTCCCCAAAGTCGTATGCCTTGGGATATGTGTAGACACCACACATAAGGCACCACAAGACCCCAAAGGTGCATAAATCCCACACCCAAAGGAAAAGAAATGCTTTGCAACTACAGAATCCAATTTGGGTTGAGCTAAAGATTTTCAGAATTTCAAAAAAAAAAAATCTATTCTCTTGTGTGGATTGTTCTCTAGTAAACTTAAGCAATTTACTCTTTTCCTGGCTTAACAGTGTATTCTGAGTTGAACAGCTTCAGGGGGAAAAAAAGTTAATAATTGGAAAGGAAATACACATTCACTTCCATTGGGTCCTTACTAACTTAACCTCTGAACTATTTCTAGGAGACGCAAGAGAGGAAAAAAAATGATGTCTTATTTTGGTTTTCACCCTTGGTTCTAATGATAGGTTTTTTTTAATAGGCATCTTCCTGAATGGGTCACCTATTTTTTTTTCTTTTTATTGAAACCTAATTGATTGTACATATCCATGGGGTGCAGCATTCAATATCAATACCTGTGTGCAATATGTGATGCTCAAATCAAGATAATTAGTACATTTAACATTACACAGTGTAATCATTTTTCAGGTCATCTATTTGGGTACCACTCAATGCTGATCACAGCAAGAACTGGGGTATATACACCAGCAGCTTATTTTAGGTCTCTGGATCCAGCTATGTAGGACTCTTACTTCCAGGCTTTAAATAAACCTTGTGGATATAAAAGTTTGGAATGGGGGAAAATTCAGAGTATACTCCATCCCTGTGGTCTAATGTTGTCTCCACTAACATCTATTTAAATCTTCAGGGCATCTCCCTAGAATCCCCAGGAAGCCAAGCATCAGGCATAGGATTCAACAACCAAGAATGCATAAGGTCTTAAGATCCTACACGGACTGAGAAGTTCAGACATCCGGTGGCTTGGGAAATCTCAAGAGGCTCCTCCAGGGAGATGAGGGCATGCAGAGTTGTGGGATCCCCTCAAACCACACCAGAGCCCAGCTCTGACTAGTCATATCAGAGTGAGCAAGACCTAAATAGAACCATGCAGAGATGTGTGAACTTTAGCTGTGTTCAAAACAACAGAACTTACTGACTTCACGGCAAATCCTAAATAACTGAGGGACTTTGGTAGTAAGGGGTGGCATTTCTCAAATTCCCCTTTACACTTTAAATCCCATCCAAGAGCCCTCTTGGGTTCCCAGATGCCGTTTGGTATTCTGTGCTAGCAGGAAGGGAATTGGACACGCTTTGTTTTTATCTTAATTACCATGGGTGCAGAAAACAACATGGTGGCCTCCCACCGAGACTCTTGTCCTGTGACAAGGAAGGGGATGGTGACTGTCAATAACAATGAAGAAATCACAAGAGCTCCCTTGGGTTAAATGTGTCCCCTGAAAGTTCATGTGTTGGAAACTTGACCCCCATTGTAACACTGTTAAGAGGGTGGGAAATCCAATCATGGTATTTGAGAGGTGTGGCCTTTGAGAGGTGATTAGATTGTGAGGACTGTGTCCTTGTGAACAGATTGATCCATTCATGGAGTCATGGGTGTGGTTCTGATAGATTTATAAGGAGAGCCAGTGAGCAGGTCAGCTCTCTCTTGCTTAGCCCGTTCTCACCATGGGACACCCTGGTCTCTGTAGAAGACCTCACTGGATGTGTTCCCTGGACCTTGGACCTCCAGCCTCTGAAACTGTAATAAATCAATTTGCCTTCTTTATAAATGACCCAGTTTCAGGTATTCTGTTATAAGCAATGGAGCCAGGTTATTACAAGAGCTAACATTTCTCCAACACTTCCTCTCAGCCAGCAAATGCATCAAGGCTTTCATGCACAACATAAATTCTTTCATCCTCACATAAATTCTGCAGTGTAGATTACCTCCTTCCCCCACTTTATAGATGTGGAACCTACGCACAGAGCAGTTAGTAACTTGCAAAAGTTTACACAATGAAACACAGAGCAGGGCAGCGCTGGGGTCAACCCTAAAAGGGTTGATTCCAGAATTTTAGCAAGTGTACAAATGAGCAATCAGTCAATGGACATGTGTTTCCTGCCAGCCTGAGTTTTGTTTCTGTTTTTCAGAGCAAGCACAGTTTTCTAGTAAGCAATGAACACAGGAGAGGCACCCATGATGAAAAACTTACCATTTTCTTTGAAACAAAACTTCTTTTTCTGGTAAGCAATAAAGCTGGAAATGGCTCCAGCCACAGCGACCACAATGGCCCCCACAATCCCTGGAATCACACCCGGGGCTTCATCTATGAGCAAAACCACAAGATAACATGACTGGAGACGTGCGAATGAGTGAAAAGACCATACAGGGCAGGCGGCTGGCAGATCTGAGATCACCGTGGTTGTTGATTATCTTCAGGGACAGCCCAGGAGAAACAGCATGAGGGACAGGGGCTGAGTACAGAGACATGGGACCAGTGGAGGCACCACTGGGGAAGGACCCCCGCTCCTAAGCCTTCCATTTGTCCCAAACACAGCCTCAAATCCTTTCGCACAGTGGGAAAGACCAGCCACCTGGCATTCCCAGATGGAATCCCCAGAAGTCACAGTTAGAAATGGAATCAATTTTACCATGCAGACCATTCTCAACCCAATCATCGGCTTCCAGCGAGGTGACAGATCCTGTCCCCTCCCCATCCAGGGGACCAAGGCAGGAGTCCTTCTCTTCAGCCTTAGTTCTTAGCTCAGCAAGTGGACAAAACCTCCAGCCATGTGAACCAAGGAAGGATGGCATTTCTTTGTCATTCCCTGTGGCATCCCTGCAATGGAGCAGCAGCCCAAGGAGCAGAGAGGGGTTAACAAGTCTCGGGTATCTCTCTGGCCTAGCTGACCTCAGCCCTGGGACCTTCAATGCCCATTTCAGAGAGAGAGAGAGAAAGCAAGGTAAGTCAAGGCACCTTGCCCAAGACATGGAGCTAAGGGAGACAGACCTGGAGCTCAGTCCGGGTGTGCTGAGTGCTGGGACACACCCCACCACTGCCTCGGAGGCTCTTGGTGAACCAGGGAAGACCCTTAGGGCTATCAGGGAGACAGTCCTGCACAACGCTTAAAGAGCTGATGTCAGCAGGTGCAGCTCTGAGTTGAGCAGAGTGACATCATTTCAGTTGACATCAATTGACTGAGCACCCAGGATTTGCTAAGCAGAGACCTGGGTCGTGGGTGGTGCAGAAGTTAGCAGATATGCAAAGACCCCCGTGGATGGGAAGTTCTAGCAGGCTGGGGAGCATTGATGAGCAGTGGGCTGGTGAAAGCAGGAGGTGGTCTCTCTGCTTTGGTTTAGGGACATCCTCTAGGGTAAGGTGGCATCATGTTATAGGGAAATCCACAGAGAGGGCAAGCCAGGTGGGGGAGCAGAGATGCAAAAGCTGGAAGGTGGGACCGCGTGGGGCGCTGGAGAATCACGCCAAGGTTGGAGCTGGGGCATGCACAGGAGGATGGCTGGGGTGTTATCAGAGAGGAACAAGAGAGGGAAGATGGAGACACAGGCATCCCCTGGTGCCCTGGGGACACAGAACAGCCTCTGGGTCTTTAACCTGAATGAACCCAGCCATGTGTCCATCACAAGGCAAAAAAGAGACAAAGATCCAAAGTGCTGCAGAGACCCGTAGTGACCCCTCTTTTTTGTCTATACCTGAAAATCTCCTATTCATCCCTTTAAGACCCTTAGAAAATACTGCCTCCTCCAGGAAGCCCTCCATCATTGCTCCCCAGACGGCCTGAAACTTTTCCTCGCTGGCGTTTCCCACGGCGATTTGCACGTGCAATGGGATAAAGATCCCACATGCTACAGAGATCCATAGTGAGAGGGACAGCCTGGGATTTTTGTAGATAAGGTTTTAAGACACCTGCAAATAATTCATCTGGACTGTCCTAAATGTTTAAAGAGAAAACACAACTGTCAGTGATGCAAAGCACAGCAGCACATGACATGGGGGTTGGAGCTAAGTTAGGACATGGAGAGAACGGGTGGACAAGTCCCAAGGGTCAGGTAAAGACTCCCAGGTAATTTACACGACATGGATGATTGTGGTCGTGGAATCGAATTCCACCGTTTTCAATGACTGGATGCTTAAAAGCTTCTATTGAGTAAGGTGAAAAGGAAACCCTTCCTCTCGTCTCTGTATCTCTGCTGTAATGATGCAGTTTGCAGTATAGCTAGTCTTATTTCTGTACTTTCTTCATCAGAAAACATGGGATTGGGCCGGCCCGGTGGCGCACTGCTACAGTGCGCCGCTTGGGAGCACGGCGACGCTCCCGCCGAGGGTTCGGATCCCACATACAGACCGGCCGCTCACTGGCTGAGCGAGGTGCGGGTGCAGCACCGAGGGTTGCGATCCCGTTGCCGGTCCCGGTCCGGTACGGGCGCAACACTGAGGGTTGCGATCCGTTGCCGGTTACGATAAAAGACAAAAAAGAAAAAAAAGAAAGAAAGAAAACATGGGATCTATTCCCTGTTGATAAATGTCAAATGCCAACTGCCAAAACCACAGAGCCACAAAAAATCCGTGCACAGTTGCTTTTATTCTGTGACAACCTCCTTTGGTGGAAGATGAAGACATTCACAGTTCTGACTGCTGTATGTGAGCTTTAGAGGATTTTCTCCAGATGGAACAGTTTCAGAACCACAATGGGTAACAGCAAATAATTTTCTGTGTTTCAGCAAAAACACTGGCCCTAACCATTGGCCGGGGGTTCACCCTATTGATGTTTAATATATGCAAAGCAGAAGGGTCCTCAAGGTCAAGTACCACACCCAGCCCACCCTGATAAAGTGATAGGTTAGACATTAACCACTGATAAGGCCAGGAAGGATGGCCCGATATAAATGTACTAGACACATACTTTCCCAGGGCGTTTCCTTTTAAACAACCTTACCATCTTACGTGAGGGCTACGAACAAATTACTACCTCTTAAAATCCAAGAACTGGATCCTTAACGGACTCGTAAATGGACTCGTAGAAAACAAGGGGGGCTGGGGGTAATTGCTTTTCTTTTTCCATAAACATTCATGACACATTTTAAAAATCCACATTTGGGCCTTTATGGAAAAAGAGAATAGATGTCAAAATCTTTGTGGAAATAAATACTTCCTCTGCCAAAGAAGTTGCTTAAAACCAGAGATTTTGCTACAACTAAAGCAAATTTTAGGAAAAGGACATAATAAAATAGGCAATTTCTGTCCCCCTGTCCCCCTTCTCTGTCCTTCCTTCCTTTTTCTGTCTTCCACGTCTCCTGCCAACGTTGCAAATGCTACGTCAGATCACCGCAGTCCCATCTTTTCTTGACAATATATATGACAGACAAAAAGAGAGATGCCAGAAACGAGGTGTACGTACCTTCCTCCCCGTCCTTCCTGGGTCTTCTGTCATCATCTCCTGCAAGGCAAAGACAAAGTTTGGGAAGATTTGGGGTAAAAGACATATTTACAGCAGAGGTCAACTTCCTGTGGCCTGACATAATAAAGGTGCCTTAACAGAATGACCAGAGGTAAGGTCATATAACATCAGGGGGTCCTTTTCCATGATTTAAGGGGGATATCCCTGCTCGGTTATGTTCACATTCATGCGAAAACCAAGCTCAGATCCCGACGTCAACCAGCCCTCCCACAGTAGGTTCCAGGAGACCCAGCGAGTCCTGGAGGTGCCTCATGGAGTCTGTCTCCTCCCACTGGAATCCCAGCCAGGACCCTGGAGCCCACCTGAGACCAGCCACAGCTACAGGGTGATCCAACACACACTCCTGCCAACTTCTGGCTTTGCCATAATCTACCAGTCTGCTGAGAGTGGGCAGTGGCAGCAGCTCAAGTGACCCCTCAGCTCTGGGTGTGTTCCTCACACTATCCCCAAAAATAAGTGATGCAGGAGCACACCCCCTTTATTGTTTTTTTTTTCACACTGAACACACGCACACACATGCACACAAACACACACTTGCATATGATTTCAAAGCGATGCTTGTATAATTATGGAAGATTTCTGCACAACCCAAGACAGAAATTCACCCAGCAAGCTATAAATTTGTGAGAGTGTCTTTACTATGTTCATTTAATGTCAGCTTCTGCAAATCACTATGCCAGGTCCACATAGGCCTTGCTTGTTACACAGCTACAGAGCTAGGGTACTGTCTGTTACACTCTATGGGATGCATGTTACATAGCTGCAGAGCTAGAACACTGCCTATTACACTCAATGGGGTGCACATTACACAGCTACAGAGCTGGGGGACTGTCTGTTACACCCTGTGGGATGCATGTTACATAGCTGCAGAGCTAGAATACTGCCTGTTACACTCAATGGGGTGCACATTACACAGCTACAGAGCTGGGGGACTGTCTGTTACACCCTGTGGGATGCATGTTACATAGCTGCAGAGCTAGAATACTGCCTGTTACACTCAATGGGGTGCACATTACACAGCTACAGAGCTGGGGGACTGTCTGTTACACCCTGTGGGATGCATGTTACATAGCTGCAGAGCTAGAATACTGCCTGTTACACTCAATGGGGTGCACATTACACAGCTACAGAGCTGGGGGACTGTCTGTTACACCCTGTGGGATGCATGTTACATAGCTGCAGAGCTAGAATACTGCCTGTTACACTCAATGGGGTGCACATTACACAGCTACAGAGCTGGGGGACTGTCTGTTACACCCTGTGGGATGCATGTTACATAGCTGCAGAGCTAGAATACTGCCTGTTACACTCAATGGGGTGCACATTACACAGCTACAGAGCTGGGGGACTGTCTGTTACACCCTGTGGGATGCATGTTACATAGCTATAGAGCTAGAATACTGCCTGTTACACTCAATGGGATGCATGTTACACAGCTATAGAGCTAGGATACTGCCTGTTACACTCTATGGCAGTGCATGTCACACAGTACAAAACTATTTTATAATATACTAAAAGTATATATTATATATTATTTATAAATAATTCTAAGTATACATATATAAATGTAGGATCTATAAATACACATAAATATATGATAAATAATATAAATTTTATATGATAAAACTACAATTCATTATATTTACTTATAGCATATATTATATATACAATATATGCATGTTTATCTGTATAAAAATAATACTAAAATACTTCTTTTGCCCATCATCTGACCTAAGATTATATTCCACTTTTCCATTGTAACACTGCCAGTTAAGGCCCTATGGACAAGTTACATCACTTCATTCCTTGGGTTTCAATTTCCACATTCATCAAATAATATGAAACGACATGGTAATAAAAAACCATTAGTGACACCTGATACTCACAGATGAAAATATGTCACTGGATGAATTAGGGGATGACTGAGAGCTGCCTGCTAGGCAGGCAGGTCTGTATTCCATGAGAGAGAAAATAAACTCCCTGAGCCTTTCACTTGGCTCCCAGGGACCCAGGATCTACAGGGCAGATGTTACTGTCCACAGTCTGGATGCACCTGCCAACAGTACAGCTCCCAAAGAGATTTCCAAACATTCAACCATGACTCTACTGTGGTCCAAGACTTTAGACCCTGCTGTGAGTTGGCAGAACAGGTGGGCATTATGGGACGGAGGGAGGAAACAGACAGAAGGAGTCCCTACCTCCTCCATCTGGAATCCCATCAGCGAGATCGGCATCTGAAATGCCCCCTAGGAAAGAAAAATAGTGTCATCTGCTATGTTGAAACTGTGGGGAGGGTCTTCACATCTTGGAGTGAAAGAAGAAAGGCCATTAGAATCAGAAGCAGATAAGGGTGGGGGGGACCCAAAAGGCTAACACTTTAGAGTCTTTCAAATATATACTTAAAATTAGTTCCCATTTTATTTCAAAACTCCTAAAGTTAGTTTTTGATGAATACAAATAAAAATCCTAGAGAGAATACTGTCTGACCACCCGTGGACTCTGGGCTCAGCCAGGTGCCTTAGTTTGGCCAACAGAATGTGAACAAATATGATACAAATAAATATTTTAAAACAACCTCTGTTAGGGTTTGTACTCTTGTCCCATGACAATGGACTGACAATAGGCTAGTGGACAGATGTAAATGATGTTTACTGAAGAGCCCAGTCCTGCCAGCAGAAGCCCGTCCATGCAACCCAACCCCAGAAGAACCACCAGTTGACTAAAGACACGTGAAAGAGCTAAGATCAGCTGAGCTGGCTCAAACTCATGAGAAATAACAATGTATTTTTTTTATAGTAAGCCCCTTTGTGTTGCAATAGTTTGTCAAGCAACAGGAGCTAGCTGATACACATCAGATTTAATCCATCAGTTGAACAAAACCTACCACAACTAAGTAGAGTTTACTCCATGAATGCAAGGATGTATTTTATATAAAGATATCCTTCAATGTAAACTACCACATTCATCAGCTAAAAGAAAAATAAATGTGATTGTCTGCATGAACGACCACATACACCTGATGAAACTTAATATTTATACCTGTTTAGGAAAAGAAAGTATACTAGAATAGAAAGATAATCCTGGGGCTGATTAGCTAGCTCAGTTGCTTAGAGCATGGTGCTGATAACACCAAAGTCCAGGGTTTTATCCCTACACTGGCCAGCCACCAAAAACCCAAAAAACAAACAAACAACAGCAACAAAAAGATACTTCCTGAAATCTGAAATGAATGTATATCTTTTTAAAGAGGCAACTTGCTTTATTTTGTTTTATTTAAAGGTGAATCTCTTTGGGCTTTTCCCTTAAATCAGAAATGAGACATGCCTGCTCTCATCAGTCATATTTAAAGTTGTCTTGGGGTTTCTAGCTAAGAAAATACAAGAAAAATACAAATAAGTTGTGAAGAGAAAGTGTAAATATAAAAAAGCGTGGAGGTACTTAAAAAATCATTTGCAAATGATAGAACTGCCTTTTAGAAAAGCTAAGAAATGGGCATAAAACAATTATCGTTTAATAAGAGCTCATCACTAAGTGGATAGTCAGAAAAAGTAGACAGAAATCATCTTTACAGAAAAAAAATAGGAAAATAATGGACATAAAAATATATTCAGAGAAACAAATAAAAATGGGGGGGGGAACGAATTATAAATACACTTAAATCATCAGGAAAAAGAGGCACATAGAAGAATTGAAGCCCCAGAAAAAAGCACAATTTTGTAAATGCATCAGCACTCCATACATCAATTGATAGTTGTAAATGCTTCAAATGAACATAAAGAGATTTTGTTATTCTCTCAAGATGGAAGAGGGAGAATAACAAAATGATTCTAAAGTTAAAAGGAAAAAAATAAACAGTCACCAAAAAAAAGTAAGGAAGCCATACAAATGTAAAGACCTCATGGATAAGAAACTTAAAGTCCTGCTTGTCCAAAAAAAAATATATATATATATACATATATGCTATTAAAATATTCAAAGGCAAAAATAAAGAGGGAAAATATTTTCATAATAAATGGGCTGGCAATAATGAATGTCTGCAAATAAACGGAGAAGGCTCATCCATCAGTAAGAAAATACCAGAACATAAAAATAAAGGGCAGAGCAACCAGTACACAAATAAAAATTGTATGTGTGCAATCAACATACTGTATTTTTTTTAAAAACTTCAGAATTAAAGACATGAAACTTGAACAAAAGTGGTATATAACATTTTACACTATTTGGCAAAGGTTTTCCAGGTGTTAATAACCAGTGCTGGAGATGGTGAGGAAAAGGGGACATTTGCACACACAGCTGGCTCAATTCTGAGCACAATTTTAAAAAACATGTCAAAGCTACAGAATGAGAGAAAATGCTTTCAAATGATACATCTGACAAGGGATTAATATAAGAGTATGCAAGAAAATCAAACACCTTCACTGTAAAAAAAAATAATAATCCAACTAAAAATGGAAAAAGGAGATGAATAGACACTTTTCAAAGGAAGACATGCAAATGGCCAACAGGTACATGAAACAATTCTCAGCATCACTAGTCATCAGAGAAATGCAAATCAAAACCACATTGAGATATCATCTCACCCCAGTTAGACTGGCCTTTACTAAAAAGACTGAGAATTACAAATGCTGGCAAGGATTTAGAGAAAGGGGAACCCTCCTGCATTGTTGGTGGGACTGTAAATTAGCACAGCCATTATGGAAAACAGTATGGAGGTTCCTCAAATAACTACAGATAGAACCGCCATACGATCCAGCAATCCCACTGCTGCGTGTATACCCAAAGGAACGAAAATTATTCATGTTGAAGGGACACCTGCACTCCCACATTTATTGTAGCTCTATTTACAATAGCCAGGATATGGAACTACCCTAAATGTCCATCATCTGATGAGTGGATAAGGAAACTGTGGTATATCTACACAGTGGAATACTACTCAGCCATGAAAAAGAAGGAAATTCTGCCATTCACAGCAACATGGATAAGCTTGGAGAAAATTATGTTAAGTGAAATAAGTCAGGCACAGAAAGAGAAGTACAGTATGTCAGAAAGAAAAGGAAGGAAGGAAGGAAGGAAGGAAGGAAGGAAGGAAGGAAGGAAGGAAGGAAGGAAGGAAGGAAGGAAGGAAGGAAGGAAGGAAGGAAGGCCACAATAACACATTGAACTCTCAGAAAGAGAAAAAAGACCTATAGTTACTGGAGGTGGGAAAGGGGGGGAGGGGTTAGAGAGTAATTAGGTGAGGGACACAAAGATTAAGTACGATTTGTAATGATGAACATGCTGATACCGATTTGATCATCACCTACTGCACACAGATACTGATAGTCAAGTCTGTACCCCACAAATATGTATAATCAAAAGTAGACAATTTTTTTTAGAAAATAAATAAATGCATAAAAATTTAAAAAATAAAAAATAAATGTCAAAAGCTATAAAAGACTTCACACACATTAACCCAAACATTTTGATTTCCAGAAATCTATTTTAAGGAATAATAATAATTTAAAAAACAGTGCATGAAGATGGCTTGAATTTGCTTTGTTTTTGTAATTCTAAAATATCAGAAGAAATATAATAAGATTTTCAAAATTATGAATTAGCTAAATGAGTTATAGTATGTAATTAAATATGTAGTACATTGTAGTATATAATGGCCATTAAAAGTCATGTAATAAAAATCATCAGATGACATGAGAAAATGTTGATGGGATATTAATAAGCAAAAAATAATCTGACAGTAGAAACAAAAGACTGACATTTTTATCTAAAATGTGTTTCATTTAAATTGATATATAAAATACCAGAGGAAATAAACATCAAATTGTCAACAGGACATGAACAGTATCTATGTTTTTCTGTGTTAAAAATTAAGCAAACACGTAAATTAAAAAAAAAAAAAAAAAACACACACACACACTAAAAACCTAAAGTTTCAACAACCTTTCAGTTCAGAAAACCTGTGCTGCTCAGATTACTCTGACAATACTGTGATGTGTCAGAATAGTTTATTTAAATAAAGACTTTTTTTAAAAATAGCTTTTCTACAGGGAAAGCACACATAGATGCTTTTCCCCATATTATCTATATGTTTAAAATCTTTTTTTTTTTTTTTTTTTTTTTTTTTTTTTTTTGTCC